AAGTGGTGATTATCATTTAGGCTGGGGAAATGATCGTTATTAAGAGGGGGGGTTAACTTCCGTAATTTTAGAAGTTGGAGACTGGTTATTTACAATGTCAGAGTACTTGAAAGCAGAAGTATAACAATTATTTTTCTTAAACACTAACGCATCCTTGTTAGACATATTTTCGGTAGCCATGATTTTTTTGATGCTTTTTTGGGTAGACCATTCTTTGCAGCTACGGTCTGTAACCAAGTGAGGTGACTTGCAAAAAAGACAAACCGGATCAGTAACTTGGGCGGAGTGACATGTACCGAACGTGTGCTTAGATTCACCACAGTGAACTGCACCGTGCCTCTCTACGGCAGTATTTTAGTGTGTGTCCAAACCGTAGACAACGGTTACACTGAACGGGCGAACGAATACTGGGCTTAACTTCGAATATCATGTTGAATAGCGAGATGACAGGCGGAATTTTGGTTGCAACAAATTTCAATTCGACAGTGCGGGTATTTATAATAGTACCATCTCTTTTTATGGGAATACGTTTAAAGTTTTCAATTGGAACAGGAGAGTGGAGACCCTCAAAAAATTCCGCTTCTGAGACATTGTTATCAAGTTTGATAACACCATACGAAAAAATAAGTGAGACAGGTATATTTACCTGAAAACCATTGTCACTCGGGATTTTAGAACTTAGGCATAGATTGCCGTTGGTGATTGAATTGAAGGTAATTTTAACTTTTTTTGAGCCAACTGGTTTAATATTGGTGATACCAGTGAAGTTGGTAGAAAAGAATTTTGCTATTTTGAACGGGTGCAAATTCCCTAAATTTTTGTTTTGGTCGGTGCATTCGGCGAGTGCAACCATTGATTATAAATAGTATAGATAGCTCACTGCAAAACAAAACACACGGCTCGTTAAATGGCGGGTGTCGCTACGAGGCGCTCCGCGCAATTATTAGTTTTGGCGGGTGTCGTTATAATCGCTAGTAGTTTACAAAAGTGGGGACTGCTATTTGGGTTGCTCCCATTTTAATAATAGATAGGCCTATTTTATGTTTAATACCTAAATATAATAAAAATTGTCTGTAATATACCTATACAGGTCATACTATTAAGTTTTCATTGGAAAAAGGTTATGACTATTATAAACATGTTACATTTTAAAATACAAATAAGCGATGTAATATTATATTATATAAATTAGCCATATAGTAATCACATATTCACATTAACATATTAATTATTTTAAATACAATATAAATAGGTACTCACATAGATTGTAAATAGTATTTAAATAAATACTATTTATAATCAATGGTACAAACTATATTGAAAAATAAAGGGAATATGGATTTACCAATTTATTTTATTGTTTGGCTAATGTGTGTAGTTTTCTCAATGCCCCTCTCGACCACCAAGACCATTGTCGTAGTTTATTTTTGAACGAATTGAAATATTTTGTTACTATTTTTAAGGTATTTAATGTTTGTCTTGGTACAAAATAAATGATTAATATAGCCAACACTAAACAGCCATCGGCTAATGGTTAAATTTGTGTATATTTAATTCGATAACCGTTTACTGCCTTGTGTTTTTTCAAAAAAATATGTGTACAAAAAACTTATAAATCTACAAAACAACAGCCTAAATTGAGAATACTACAAAACAAATAATTAATTGTAATATATTGTGATACTAAAAAAAAAAAATGTTTTAAATGTTTTAATATTTATTTAATTATGTTTTCATGATAATATAAGTATATTTCGAAATAGTAAGTAGTTATGACTAGTTATGAGTATGTAGAATATTAATATTTAAATTCAATTTAATATCAAAACTATCAACACACCTTTAATTAAAACTGGTTACAACGTGCTATTACGTGTGTATAGTGTGTTACGACAGTGACAAAACAACGCGGGTCCTCACTATTTATAATCAATGTCAATACCATTGATTATAAATAGTACTATTTACGTCTTACCGAGGACCGACCGCCGACGTTTAGTAACGATTAAAAATAATATTATTTTATTCCATTATAATTGACAAAATTCCTTATCGCCCTCTATCGGCAAAAGTTTCTTACGCAGCATATTTTGTATTGCAGTGAGCTATCTATACTATTTATAATCAATGGTACAACAATAGGACCATTATATTCCGGTGAAAAATATTGGAGTCGAGCATTAATATTATTATTATCGATAGCCGGGTTTTGGGTTGTTCATGACATAGTTATATCTGTAAATAACGTGATACATGAGGCGGGCTCATTAGATCGGTCATTGCCGTTAATAGCATCATCAACAATAATAGGCTCGTGCGCGTTATCAGGTATGTTATAATTGAAAGCAGTGTTTGATGTATTTAGAACCGGTGGATTATCTATTATTTGTTGTAAAACTGGAGAGACGGGACTGGTTGGATTTGTTATAGCTTTAGACTTAGGTGAGTAAGAGACGAGTGAAAAATCAGAACTGGATCCCGAGCTTTTATTGTGAGTTGTCGGTTTTATTTTGTTCGTTGACGAGCATTGGCCAGCGCGAGAGCCGCCGCCCGAAGACGACGACATGGATAAAGCGAACCAATTAGAAATATAACAAATATGTATATATATACACAGAGACTTTATCAGCAAAGGCACTAAAAAAGATACACGACTATTCGGAACGACGTGAGAACGTAGACTGAACCGGACTACTTTTAAGTGTTTAAATTGAGTCGTACGGTAGTATAATATATACATCAATAATTATCATCACGATAAATTTCATAACATTAAATGATTGATAATCAAATAACCTAACTAAAACTAAATTAATAATAATAATAATAATAAAAAAAAAAACCGTAATTCATTAACACTTATATTAAGAGAATACTTAATAATTTTCTTCCATATATCTTTTGACTAATTAGTTTAAAGAACATAACTTTAAAATTCCTAAAAGTGTAGTACTTAATTTAATATATTCGGTAAAATTTAGACAAGTTTTTGTTGTAAAAATTGTACGATATTTAAGATATTCTCTGAATAATTTAAAAAAAAAAAAATTACCATCTGTATTCATAATATACAACCTCGGGTAGTGAAACTTTTAAATTTTTACTGTCCAAAAAAAGTTATAACCGAGAAAAATGAAGGCATATCTTTGCAAAATCAATAACTTCTTCAATTCACATATAATATAAAATGTTTGTTAAAAAAAATGCTGGTTTAATCATATTTTGAAGAAGCCGTTATGCATTGAAATGTTCTTTAAGTTCGACTTATACACAGTACAGGAGGTTCATGCAATATTTACGTGTAAATTATACTTAATTTTTAATATTTAATTATAAATATGTAATTAAATATTCCATTAATACCATTAAAAAAATTACAAAAAAATATGGTTGGATTATTTTGTTCATAATAGCGATGTTAATTTGAGTGAAAACATGTAAAGATTTTCACAACTTTAGGGTAATTATAATTAAACGAATATCGTGTACTATTGAATATATTATACTAAGTATCATGATAAAAATAATGATCTATAATTTATGTTTTTTTTTATTGGACAAGCTACATAAAAATGGCAACAATAATGTATAAAATTATCGGAGTATATTAAAAATAAAGTAAAGCCATATGTATAAAACTAGTTTTATCTATGACTAGTACTTAAAAAGAGAATAATTACAGGAATCAGTCATTTTGAATAAATAAATATTAAACTTTAAATTCAAAACAATAATCAAGAACAAAATATTTGGGATTTCTATTACGAAGTTATCTTCTGTAGTATTCTCAATATGAATGTGCTTTTTTTCTTTATATCAGGTATCCATTCAATTTTAGAAAAGCACAGAAAAACTTATGCCATCCTTCAGCTGTCGATTTTGTTCCGGTGAGAGAAAAAAAACCAATGTCAAAAAACAATTTGAGTGTTTTATGAAAAAATATAAACATATGTGTGTGTTATATGCATATATTTTACTGTCACTGCTTGTATGTCACAAGCGTCTGGATTGCATGTAGAGTAAAAGCTCATTTGTTCGTATACAGCGTATTTGTACGGTATTGAACAATTTATCTAATGTATGGGCACGTGATAACAAAATAAAAGAAAAAAAAGAAAATATGTTATGAAAAAAGAAACACGTGGCATTTATTACGGTTTCGTCGCCGAATTGGAGAAGGTTCTTTATGAAATTATCTACTCATACGTGTATGTGCTAAATCGAATAAAACGTCGCTTCCGCCGATAAACTTTGGCTGCCGTGTTATGAGAGAAGAACGTTCATAAAAAACAACTCACTGTTAAGTCGTGGTAAATATAGGCATCATTACTCGATGTGTTGAGATGATTGACGTTGACAACAGCATTTTATTGTTCGGCCGATAGAAAGATTTCTGGTTGAACGCATGGACCAAAAATGTCTAATATCAAGAGATGAATAATATGTTGGGTGGTGATACGTTAGAAGTCATGGGATAGTAATAATTGTTGGCCGACTCGATCACCGCTGAAATTTGTGGCACTTATATAAAACCGATTAGCTGCTGGTCAAGGCAAGAGAAATTGTATTTGTTTTAAATATTATTCACACGTTTTGTAATTGAATGAAAAATATTGATAGTCGGATAATATACGGTTTTAATAGTAACATTCTTGCTGTAATGTCCGAACAAAGGCAAATTAAAAAAAAAAAAAAAATAGTAACATTATAACTTTTTACCTTCTCTTCGAGAGTACCAGGTAACGTAACTATAATCGATATTCCGCGATCAGTATCCGTGCACTCTTGTCTATGTACGTAATTATTATAATTTATAGAATGCTTAAAAAGTTGGGAAATTTTTTCCGCTGCTTTCGGTTCGAACTATAACTTAGAAACTTTTGGAAGTTTTGTTAATACTATGTTACATAATAGCTCATAATACGCGTAGAGGTATAATGATAATAATAACGTTGATCGCTATAATAATTACAATAATTGTTTAGATCATGATTTCTTACCTTGATGAATCGGGGGAACCGGAGTATGGGGTGCACGCCAATCTTAAGCTGGAGCAAGTCAAGTGGCGTGAGGGCTATAAGGTCGAACAGGAACGACCGGGACCGGATGTAATGGCCGGCCAATTTTCTGGTGTTGTACACCATCAGGCCCTGTTCCAGGTAACCTGTGCGGAACTGAACGGCTACATCTAACAGGAACACGATGTCGCTGAACGCGTCCATGGCCGACCACCAGCCGGACGCCATGTGCTGCAGTTCGGGCAGGCTTTGCCGGACGATGGCCGTCCATAGGTTGTACAGGGTGCAGCCGGTCAACACCATTAGCCAGTTGAAGTAGAAGTTCTCGTCCGGGTTGACGACGGACCACGGCAGTTTGTTTTGCTTCCTGCGCAACCGGCGTTTCCGGCGCATGTACTCGATGTTGTCCTGCGAACCGGAACTGCATTCGCCATCATCACCGGTGTCCAATGTTTCCTGCACGAAAACGTACACACACGCCCACGGTATTATAATCGTAATAACGACGTGTCTCATTGAAACTAACCAAATAGATCATGCGCGCGGAGTTTATTTATATATTATTATGCCACATATTTAAACTTTAATTATTGGTTTGTTGTTGAGCCAGAAGAGTCCATTATATAATTTATACCATCTTTAGTTACCATTTGTTTATAGTTTTTATACCTTTGTCCGTAGCTTTAAGCACACACAACACGTATACACACCTGTACACATCACCAGCACCACGTAACTCGTCAGTATTTGCGTGGCGTTCCAATCCACTAATGAGTGAGCTACAAAAAATTATATATGCACACATACACATAGTGCAAACGACACGGACAGCAGCAATCGTGCGGGCAAAGTTGCAAAACAAGCCGGGCGCGCGAATTACTATTATTCGCTCCTGAACCCTACACAAAGTGTATATGACATATACTATACGTAGTATCACAATGGAAATTATAAAATTATTTGACCTATTATACGTAACTTGTATAGTATGTATATAATTTCTTTTGGGTTAATTTTTTGTTTGAAACATTTTACTGGAGTTAAAAGTAGCATATGGAAATTAAATCATCCTTTTTCCTCTGAAATATTTTTTTGGTATTTTTGTTTATCTACTTTTGGTTATTTTTCGCTACTCACGTATATAAATATATATATATATATATATATATATATACTTAATAAGTGAATAACTAATACATAAAGTTGAATTATATTTATTCAATGAATTGTAATGCGTCTATTCGTAATAGTATACTTATCTAGAGAATAAATTATGTGTGTAAAACCATCATCTGCAGATAGCGTTGTGGCCGGAGGATGTGTAATAATATTCTAGGAAAATCTTTTTTGAAAATAAAAACAACTGAGGTAAATATTGTACCTTTTGTAGTGGCTGTGTATTTGTATAAAGCGAAATAAAAGTGTGCTTTATGTTAAGATTGTTAAATATTTATTATAGAATAACAAACAAAAACGTTTAAAAACTTTATTTCACCTGAGGTAATTGTTGACAATCCATTTATTAGGATGTTCCATTTCCTCATTGTTATAATGACGGTAACTGCTCTGTTAGAATAAAACGTTAAGTATTTAGAGCGACTATCATAGCAATGGCATTAGAAAATGTATGAAAATGATTCATACTAATAACCAAATGCTGCCTTAATTCGTTAAACAAATTGACTAATGAATTCAATTTTGATTTTGCTAATAAATTATTCATAATTTCATGTAAGTTAAACTAATTTGATTTTCAAACCTAGAAAAATTATTAAGAAGTGAAATCAGAAAACGATGAATGTAATGGTGTTGGTCAAATTATATGTTTTATGGTTTTAGTCAAAATAAATAAAATATATCATAACTTTATTATGACATATATTATGTATTACAGCTAAATAATCGCAATTTGGCATACAAACACATTGATAAATAAATAAAAAATAAACTATTAAATTATTTCGATAAATGATAAAAACATAAAAAAAATGTTGGTAAAGTTATAACTTATCTGTTAGTACTCATAATTATGGTAATGTAAAGGCAGATTTGTTTTCTATCTTTACGAAGAGAAACTGGAGTCTGATAATTATAATTTTGATGTCAAATGTGCATTGTTAAATGAGTTATAATTATTATAAATGTATTTAATATAAAATTATTTTCAGTGAAAGTATTTAGGAAAGAAATTTGCTGACTCGTATTTATTGTATGTAAATTACTTCTTTTACAAATTCGGAATTATGCTCACTTGAAAAAAAAAATTGAAAATTGACGTGTCAGGCTGACCTTCCAAAATTCCATAAATCTTTTTGAGTCTACCACATTCGATATATTTCATTTAACTTGAATAAATTACGTAAAACGTGTGTTTTTATTGTTCGTAACGTAAATGTTAGGTATAAATTATTTATATGCAGATACTTAATGTGCATATTTTATAAAGGATCAACGATGAAACGGATTAAAAAAAAAAAAAAATCGCATCATATTTCTGAAAAATTATATTCAATAAATATAAAATATACATTTTTACGTTCTGTTATACTATTTAATTACTTAAGTATTTGTTTTTTCGAAGAAAATAGATTTAAGTTCATCATACATACTATATGAATGTGCGAACAAATAACAAATAATTAGTAATTATCAGATATATTATCATATTTAACAACAGAGCTGCATCGATAAATAGGTCATTTGGGTTTTTTTCAATGTGGTGTCATAAGTGTGTACTGAATATATAGTATATTATACATAACAGATAGCTGCGATTTGATTTATCGTGGAGATTCTATATTATATCATGAAATACATGTATATTTACCGACTCCAATAGAGAATCGATTGTAATTAATATACATGTACGTACAAGAAATAAAGAGAACCGTAGAGAAAAACATCATGAATATTTGAACTCGTTTCAGGGGGTATGCTATCTATTGGGGGGGCAAATCATATTAAACGCATACAAGGTGCACTCAGCGACAGCACGCACATATTTTTTTGTATTATGTTATGTCTGTGACGGTGAGTCGTCGAAATTCTACGAAATTAAAAAAAACTATTATTTTTCTATTATATATACCGATCGTGCTTTTCATTTTATACCGTAATGGCGGTGATTATTGGTATCAAATACACCCTTCACAATCAGTGCCACAACTAGAATTCTTGGAGCCCTAAGCGAAAAATCCAGCGACTTTTTTGTTTTAATTTTCTTTTTCTATTTTTCGTTTTCTTTTAGCAGCTCCGCTTAAATACTTTCTTAACGTTGACATAATTTTTAAAACCGGCAAGATTACTATTTACTAATAACCAAGGCTCGGAATTTTAGGCATTTTCATATTTGTCTAGAAAGTGCATATTGAAATTTTGATTTGATACAAATTCGATTTATAGTATGTATATTTCAGGTATAAAAATTTTTGTTGCATGATTTTGCATATTTTGTTATTTTTGTACCAATTCGTATATTTTGGGATTAAGAACGTTTATATACATATTTCATGGATTTATCTATTATTTTATTGCTCCGGCTCTCAATGCACTTATCAATAATATTATAATTTTTATAGTACCGAAAACTCGTATAATGAACACCGCGGGCCCGTATTTATTTTTATACAAATTTACCACTGTGTTAATATCTTGTAACATAACATAAACAAATTGTAAAACTATAGGTAATTCGTAAATAATTATGTTTAACCATTAGGTTATCAGCTTATACACAATATTATTTCTGTTCGTTATAATACCGCATATTTTGATGTTTTTAAACGCATATGTATGCGCATATTTTAGTACTTTTTAGCGCATTAAGTTTCGAGCTTTGCTAATAACTAATTAGGTATAATATCTTTAAGACGTAAAAATTGAGACTATGAGAATATCATCAGTCAGACAGTCGGACAAGCAATTATGTGCTCGCTACATGCCTATATAAATATGCTTCAAACGGCGATTACAATAATTATTTCGGGAATCCCAAAGGTATGTATAAAAATAACTCATAGTATAACACTATAATATGTTATCTATAATATTATAGCTAGTATATTAATGTGCGATCCGGAGGGCCCCGTTCTGAGAAAATTGTAATTAATAAAAATAATAAAAATATACAAGTTCAATTATAAGAATAAATGCATTAAATAATTTTTATGTAATTTATCATAATGAAATTATTTAGGAGGTGGGACCTTGAAACCAACCACAAGAGGCTCCTTTGCATGGGCATTGCCCCTGCTGCCCCTGCGGTTTTTGCGGCACTGTCCACGATTTGAGCTGAGTGCGCGAAGTAAAGAGTGGAATATGTACGAGTGAAACGGTATTGACGTTTACAAACAATTATAAAATTAATTTACCGTATTGTACCAATTGTTATGGAAAGTTATACAATAACAACTAACAGCATGTTACTCAGACAAAAAAATCATATTACAGTTTAATGATTTCTGATGGTTAGGGTAGGCTGTATTTATTATAAGTATAAATATATTATGGCATTATTTTAGGTCGTGATAAAATTATTGAAAAATGTGAAAGGGGTTGATTTATCATACTCCAAAAATCGAGAAAAAAAAAATTGTTGACCTAATATTCTTACATAAGGGCGTAGTTAATAAGAATTACATATTATTTCAATTCATCCCTCTATACTTTCGCTTGCATTAATCCTATAAATGTATGGATACTTTAAAATTAAATTAGTTTCTACTTTGTTTGGGATTGAGATTTATCATTATAAGATCTAATTAAAGATTATATGGTCATATAAAAAACTTTAACAAATAGGCGATGGATCTTTCTCATCATAGTTTCAATTAGTATTATAATAGTTTTAATCTCATACATAAATTAGTAATACATTATTAAAATAAAGAAAAAAATTAGTTAATTTTTTACTATTTATATTTAAAATGGCTGGGTGAGATTTTAAATTTACCTATTGACATATAATAATTATATTTGCTCTCTTGAAACCTAAACTGGTAAACGATTTAAGTGCTTATACATGTTATGAATAAGTATTTACATGATAATTATTTAGCAATATCTGTTATATATTTTACAACTTTTATTTTTGCATATTTAACGCTTTAGAATTTTTATTTTAAACATATCATACACATATTATGTACCTTAAATGTGTATGTAATTATTTTTATTTTTGTTTCTGTTCGGTATCAAAATCGTTAACTTGTGTTTTTTTCACGTAAAAAAAATTCGCATTCAAATTTCACAACATTTGGAAACAATAGAACATCAACATGATGCCACCATATAATCTTTAGGCTGAAAAAGCTTAAATATCGACGTTTTGCATATTGCTAATGTACTGGTGTAAAGCTACCATTTCTCATGCACAGTATGCATATATTTACAAACCCTTCCACAAATGTTGGACATAAAGCACATATTGGTGTTCGAAATTCACACAACCAGAATAA